CAGATTCCAGGGAGGAGACAGAAGCTTAAGAGAGCAACATGAAACAGCTGAACGGTGCTTTGGTGGGATTTTCTATATTAAAGAGTAGAAAAGAAGAGCTTACGCTGATTTCTGGTATGCCTAATGAAACATCTGCAGGTTATACTCTGAAATGAAGCACTGTTTAGGGTCAAATAAAGTGTATAATCATTTGAAAAAAAAAATTACTCGAGGGGCATAATGCAGGAGAGCTCAATGTTTTGATTTTTGAATCCACATACTTAATGCTGCCAACTTCTTACTGGAGTGAGAGATTGTCAGACCCCCTTGAACCTATGACTTGGAGCGATGCCATGGTATTCTGACCTAAGAGGGCTTAAGTGTTCTCAAAATCTGTCTTTGTTCTGTCTTATGAGGTGCTAAGAGCATGAGGGCTGATCGACGCTCTTGAGGCCCGATGAGGTTTTCAGAAAGTGTAAAAGGTCACGTTCTCTGCGGTTCTCCAGGGAAGGAGACCACTCCCTACTAGGGTAAAGCTGATAGCTATCACAGCCAACACTGAGCATTTTTATGGTTAGGACTTACTGTAATATGGTCACTGAGTTTTAGGGATGCAGAGATTAACCGATTTCGCTATTAACCACACTTTAATTTGTCACGGTTAATTCAACGTAAAGCATTGTCAACACCGTGTTTCTGCACGGAACAATACTGCAGCAACTAAACAAAGTTATGCCAACTGTGCACTAGTTTGAAGTTACGAGCTTGTACACCGAGGCTAATACCTACGCACACTAGATTAACTATGGCTGAGGCTCAGGGGAGTAGATTTAGCCTGGACGAAGAGGACAGGTCCTCACCAATATCCATCAACTGTTAAAATGTCCCCACCAATAATTTAATTCACTTAAAAAAAATTGCGCTGTCAATATTAACCTAGACATGCCGAAAGGGTTAAATCTCGTCTCTCCTCGAGTCGCACTGCCCCACAAACACATATGAACATTGTGATTGGCTGTGCCTTTCCCTGTTGTCATATGATAGGCTGTAGCTTCGTTCAGATGTAACAGTGCCAAAACCGTGCAGGAAAATTTCCTGTGCAAGAATATGGGTGAGGTGTGTGACCTTTTTTACAGTCATTGTGTGTGACATAAGTGAGGATGACGGCAGCAAAAAAAAAAAAAAAAAAAAACGGTGGAAATAAGGAGCTTTTTTCAACTAAAAGTGTCACTCACAAAAACTCAAGGTTGCTACTGAATGATTCTATCATGATAATGCCGTCAATATTTGTGTTTTCCCCCTGCTTTAATGCACAGTCTATCAATATAGCAGATTGATACAGACTGTGAATAATATGCCCTGAAAACTAACAAAAAAGTAAACAGCTACATGTAAAAATATATGATCGATGAACCGCTTGCGTGCATATATTGGGATCGAAAGGCTCACAAAAGCTGTTTTTATTCTAGCCGAAATAAAACAAATAAAACTTTCTCCATAGGAAAAAATATTATAGGAAATGCTGTGAACAATTTTTTGCTTTGTTAAACATTATTTGGATTTTTTTTTTTAAATCACCAAAAAACTAAATCAAGGGGGGGCTAATAAATCAGACTTCAACTGTACCAAAGTATTTTGTAATCTAGTGAATCAAAAGTGCCTTTCAGGCAGAGGTACAGCAGCCTTTGACAACATTTGTTCTCTTTAAAAGGGAAATGCTTTCCTAATATATAGCTTAGATTTATATTGGACAAATACAATTTTTTATTTATTCTTATTTATATATTTATATTACTTGGTTATTGAGCGGCCATATATAAATCTTAAAAATATAAGGAGTTTTCATGTAATTTTCTAAATTTGTAATGTTTTAATTGCGGCTGGAAGGGCATCCGCTGCTTAAAAACGTGCTGAAGATTGGATAGCTTTACATGGACATAGGAAAATCAAGACCTGTTTAAAATGATTTAAAACCTACAACCCAATGACCCCTTTAAGACCCCTTTAAGACGATTATAAATGAAATTTTAGACAGACAGGGATACCCACGGCCGGTTACTTCTGTTAATAGTTTTTGTATTAACTGCATTAATGTGCTGCATTAGTTTTCTTTCCCTGATTAGGAATTATTTTCTTGATTTGGAGAATTTGCTGTAAAAATGTTTACCAGCTGTATCTCTTTGCAATAAAAAAAAATGAACTTTAAAAAAAGTTGGGCTTGGAAAATACAGAAATCCGTATTTATAGGGAAGAATCGCATGCCTGTGTCATGTTGATATTAATCTTTCACATTTCCAAGTAGGTGATAAAAGGTTCAAAATAACTACTTTATAAATTGAAAATACATCATTTTGTGTGGGTTTTTTCACCAAATCAGTGACATCATTCACAAATATAGCAAATAAAGAGTTAAAATCCTGCAATTTTCTAAATATTTTAGTAGTTTGGATCAGGAATGAGGTTGATTAACAGATTTATGCAAAATAGAGAAAAAAAAATTATAATATGATGCATTTTTAGACCTGTATCCCTGCTTCCATTCATGGCCAAGATTCTGGAGAAAGTAGTGTTCAATCAAGTCCTGGACTTTCTTACTTAAAACAATCTCATGGACAACAAACAATCCGGCTTTAAGAAAGGCCACTCAACTGAGACTGCCCTGCTCTCGGTCGTGGAGGATCTCAGACTGGCTAAAGCAGACTCAAAATCATCAGTCCTCATCTTGCTGGACTTGTCAGCTGCTTTTGACACTGTCAACCACCAGATCTTGCTATCTACGCTCGAGTCACTGGGCGTTGCGGTCACTGTTATACAATGGTTCAGATCTTACCTCTCTGACAGGCCATTCAGGGTGTCTTGGAGGGGAGAGGCCAACCTACAGCATCTAAACACTGGAGTACCTCAAGGCTCTGTTCTTGGGCCACTTCTCTTCTCCATCTACACGTCATCTCTAGGAACAGTCATCCAGAGACATGGATTCTCCTACCACTGCTATGCTGATGATACCCAGCTATACCTCTCTTTTCATCCTGATGATCCCTCGGTTCCAGCTCGCATCTCAGCCTGCCTGTTGGATATTTCACACTGGATGAAAGATCATCATCTTCAGCTTAACCTCACAAAAACGGAAATGCTTGTAGTTTCTGCCAACCCGACTCTACACCATAACTTTTCAATCCAGATGGATGGGGCAACCATTACTGCATCCAAAATGGTGAAAAGCCTTGTAGTAACGATTGATGACCGACCAAACTTCTCTGACCACATTTCTAGAACTGCTCGATCGCGCAGATTCACACTCTATAACATCAGAAAGATCCGACCCTTCTTATATGAACATGCAGCTCAACTCCTTTTGAAGCTCTTGTTCTCTCCAAACTGGATTACTGCAACTCTCTACTAGCTGGCCTTCCAGCTAACTCTATCAAGCCTCTTCAGCTGCTCCAGAACGCAGCAGCACGAGTGGTCTTCAATGAACCTAAACAAGCACATGTCACTCCGCTGCTAGGCCGTTTGCACTGGCTGCCAGTTGCTTCTCGCATCAAATTCAAAGCTCTGATGTTTGCCTACAAAGTGACTTCTGGCCTTGCTCCTTCTTATCTGCTCTCACTTCTGCAGATCTATGTGCCCTCCAGAAACTTGCGTTCTGTGAATGAACGTCGCCTCGTGGTTCCATCCCAAAGAGGGAAGAAATCACTTTCGCGAACGATCACGCTCAATCTGCCCAGTTGGTGGAATGAACTCCCTAACTGCATCAGAACAGCAGAGTCACTCGCTATTTTCAAGAAACAACTAAAAACTCAACTATTTAGTCTCCACTTCACTTCCTAATCTGCAATTGCCTCTCTGGATATCACACTAACTGTACCAAAAAAAAAAAAAAAAGTACTAATACTTTCCTTCTTAGACTTTACAGACCTGAAACTTGCCTATAGCACTTATTCATTGTTGCTCTTATAGTTGGGTAAGTTGCTTCCTTGTCCTCATTTGTAAGTCGCTTTGGATAAAAGCGTCTGCTAAATGACTAAATGTAAATGTAAAATGTAAATGTTTTACAGCAGTTTAATTCAGTGGATGTTTTCATCTCTAACATACTAAGTAAATTTGTCAAGAGTGTATCATTGAGTTTTTTTTTTTTATTTCAAAGCATTTTTCCATAATATATGTTAAAATAAGATTTGTCACCAAAAATCACTCATGGCAAGCTGAAACACATAAAAAGTTATGGCCAAATTAGGACTCAAAATAACCCCCGAGTGGATAAAAAACACCCCCAACAGCACATACTGCAAGGGTCAAGTTCAATCAACTTAAATATTAAAAAACTAATAAGTTAACTTAATTCCTTCATATTGTCCCAACACAAATCTATTGTGTGAAACCCAGCATTTTGTACAGTGTATAATCATCGAAAAGCATTTATATATAATCCTTTAAATGATTCTAAATACATCCACATAAAATGATGCCATTCAACCCTGAGCTCCATTCCCAGCATGTTACAGCTTTATACAAAGCACCAGCTCTTCATGTCATAAAGAGCGTTTTAGTGGGCTGGCGATTTGTTGATTGAATAACCATGTGGCGTGTTAAACCACTAACTCTTTCATTGCACATTGACCAAACCTTAGCCAGTGCCAAGAAGTGACGAATAAAGTTATATAAACCGGGTACCACAACAGTTACTCTATGCAAGGTCAGTAACTGTGAATAAAGCAAACAGTTTTAAAGCGTGGCCCAGGACTCTAGAGCCCAGGGTTCTTCTCTAGAGACGTGCCTGATATGGGTGTGCCAGCACTGGCATCCTTTCGCTTTATCAATGAGTCTTTCACTACGGCTGCCAACACTGTCGTCCCAACACAGGGAGGCCTTCAGTGCAGGAAACACAGAGAGAGAGAGAGAGATTTTAACTACATAAACTCCCATTTTATACACCCATGTTAATCGGCGGAGGGAGTGAAAGAGACACTGAGAGATGCATTATGAACTCAGCTGGTGAGAAATGGGAAAAATGTTCTTACCTTGGCTTCGCATTTCTTATGGGTGGCTGTTTTGCAGACTGTGGGCGGTAAGAGAGGGAGATGTGTTGGTTAGGGAGGATTACTACGTTTGATATAGTTTCACTAGGGATTAGTAGAGAACTGGGAGTTTAAAGGAAAATCCAGGGTTTCTTCAAGTCAAATGTAAGATTTTTGAAGACCATTAAGAAATTATGACATTTTAGACATAGAGTGCTCATCATAGTTGAGTACACCCCATTTCTAAATGGAATATTTTTATCCATTTCTCAGTAAACATAAATAAATTAAAATAAAATAATATTTTAGTCACCAAACATATTTAGAAATTGAAAGATAATAAAAAAATTCAAGCAAAAAAAAAAAAAAATAATACAAAATACTACAACATTTCAACTAAATTTTCCCATTTTTTGCTTCTCATGATTTTTCCCCTTTTTTAAAAATTTGTGTTTAATATTTTTCTATAACATTTAAATTTGGGTGTACTAGTTTTTGGGGCGCTATCATGAGTTATTTTGTTAAATAAGCTCCAAATTTGGCTTCAGTACGGACTAATCTAATGTATATGTACAAATATAATATTGTATAGCTTCCTGTTTGTGAGGGGTGTACTTACATATGCTAAGCACTGTATTCAGAGCTAAACACAAAGATTTTTTTTTTAATAATGACTTCTGTAAATAGTTCTGTAAATAGTTTTTGTATTAATGGAAGATCATGTAAAGGGATGTCTTGCTTTATCTTTCTTTCCCTGATTAGGGGGTTTCATTTGGAGAATTTGCTGTAAAACTGTCTAACAGCTGTTGTGAATTGTATTTCTTTGCAATAAAAAAAACTGAAATATTAAAAAAAAAGTTTTGAAATGGATTATTGGTGATAGGGTATTGGCCTGATAATGTAGCTTACCTTGGAAATAGGAAAAATTAAGACCTGTTTAAAATGATTTAGGACCTATGACCAACTATTTCAGTGAATTTTAGACTTATTAGGGCCTAAAATTTTGTTTTTGAAATGTAAGACCTTTTAAGACCCTGCGGACACCCTGATTGTTAAACATAGAATAGGATAAATTATGGCAGTTTATATGTGGAATGATTAATATCTTTCTTCAATGTATTTTTTAAAATACTTATTATTTAAGAAAATGAATAAAAAGATTACAAATGTAAAATAAAAAAAAATGTATATATATATAAATGTATTATTTACTATTCATGAATTAACTTATTTTATATATTTTGTATTTAATTTTTTTATTTTAGAAAATGTGTTTGATTTTGTCAGTTTTTAAATATTTTTAAATAGCAATAATTTATTTTAAGTGACACCAAGAACTGGCATTTGTGGAGATCATGTTGACAACATTCAAAAAATACCAGAAATTGCTGTTGTGAAAGCATACCCTTACTTAATTTGGTTAATTGCAATTACAAGTTTAAGTTTGCCATATAATATTCATATTTATTTTAGCTGAATTATTCAGAATAGTCTATTATACTATTACTTATCATTAGAGGTGGCATGGTAGCTCAGTGGTTAGCACTGTCGCCTCACAGCAAGAAGGTCGCTGGTTCTAGTCTGCTGTGATGGAATAGTTGGCACTTGGCAGTTTATTCTACTGTGGCGACCTCTGATAAATCTGAGACTAAGCTGATGGAAAATGAATGAATGAATGGTTATCGTTAACAATTATAACTATTACTTGCTTGGAAAGGCTGTTAAGGTGGTAAAAGTAAGTGTAAAACTGGAACAAGACTTAGTGTAAAAATACTACACAAATAATTTACATTTTTTTATCCCTGAATAATGTTAATTTTAATTTTCTATTTAAACATTTTGTATTAATTGTAAAGTATCCAGATATTTTCATAATCGCCAATTTCTTTAGTACAGTAATTGTTAATTCCATAACAATATGCTGTATTAAAATAGCACGCTTATCAGAATAATATGTTTAAGATAACTACAATTGTATACATGGAAATGTCACAAGGGATGCATTACATGTGGGGTCTTTGTTAGGCATGGGCCAGTATAAGTTTTTGATGGTATGATCACCTTGAATAAAAATATCACAATTTCACAACTAATATAAGTTTTTTTAGAAAATGTCTGGGAAGGGGATAATGGTTTCCCCATTAAACACAATATATTTTATTTATTGTGCATGTATTAAGCATATCAGGCTAAAAAATTTAAATAAACAATTAACTTCTGTTGTCTTCATTAGTTATAAAAGCACATATTTCTTTAAAAAACATGAAAAAACAGTTTAAAAAGCCCTTAAATATACCTTAGGAACAGTATAACAGAATATTTTAGCTGTTTTAAAATCTTGACTTTTCCAAACTGTGGTAAACCTTTAAACCGGTTACCATCCCATGCCTAGTTCTTCTCAAAATAAAAAGTAAATACAAGGGCTGAAATGTTCTGATGTCACTCACCTCGACAAAAAGAGCCCAGGTTCTCCACGCTCTGCCTGCACACTCCACATTGGCGCTTCTTTTTGAAGGCCTTTTCTTTGAAGACGTGTGGCTCGCCCTTCCCCGCCTGGAAGACACAAACACAACATTACATATAAAAAAATTTTTAATGCCTTTTTATTTAACCCTCAACTCATTCCCTCTCAGCCACCTTCTGTAATCCTGTTATTTTGCCATCACTATTTCTCTAAATGATCATGTCTTGTTCTGCTCTGTCATTGCTTATGCCCAGCTGCCTTCACTGACCTGAACTGTTCTGTGGAATTCAGGCCTCTGTCTTTCTTTCCATGAACAGCAGCTCATCTTTCAACTCTAAGAACAAAGACAAAAAACCCAACAAAACACCTTTTATCTGAAAGTGACGGATCTTGCAGTGAGTAAGCGCTTGGCGAAAATACCTTACATCATGTCCTCCTTTTATGCTAATATGTATGTTATCACTTCTGATTAGGTCAAAGACTAACAGTCAGCACAAACTTGTCGACCAATGTTTGTATACTTGATTTGGTTCGGTTATTACTGTGTATGACGTCCCAGCAGAGGAACATAATGCAGCTTTGTGTTTGGATGTGCACTTTTCCATTTGGCAGAGAGGTAAAGAGGTTTAGCACTCTTTTCCACTCTCTCTCTCTCTCTTCCTTTCTTTCTCTCTCGACCCTGTTTAGACAGCTGGCGAGAAAAGCAGCGTGTGCCCGCTAGGTGCCATAGCTACTGGCTGCTTCAATGAGCTGGCACCATCATATACAGCCACCTGAGACCTTCACTCTTCAACCATTGTCTACTACAGGTACAATAAGCATCTCCAAATATGAGCTGTGGGTATAACCTAGCAGAACACAATGCTTGAAATGTGAAGAGTTTTGGAGACGATGTTAAAATACTTTCTTCTGTTCCAGTTTAATGTGTTAAAAGAACTAGAATAAGTTATGATTTATTTAGTATATTTGCCTTTGAATAATAAAGCATGTTGATCAGATGAGTTAGGCAAGAATCCTGCTTTAGCATTCTAGAAAGCACTCAAAATATCCCAATTCCCAAAGTATAACCTTAGCAACCACCCAGAACTTAATAATCAAAAAGCAACACCTTAGCAACTACTCAGAATGCAAAACCACCCACAAAGGAGCATCATAGCAACCACCCATAACACATAGCAACATTTTAGCAACCACCCAAAACAAGCCAAAACCCTAATAAAAAATCCAAAGCCCACATCACAACAACTACACAGTAACACCTAGCAACTATCCAAGAGCACTCACCTACCACACATTATAATAACCCAAGCAACAACAACATACATCATTACAAAAACAACTGCTAACACCCAGAACAAAGCTATACCATCAAAACAAATCTTGAAACCGCCCAGTACCAAATAACAAGCACATAGATACACCCTAGCAACCACACTAAATTACCACACTATTTGTATAATAATAACCACAGAAAGCACTCCAGCAACATCATAACCCTAGGAATATCATATAAACTAGGGATGTCGTGATCAGATTTTTTTGCCCTCGAGTCCGAGTCATTTCATTTTAAGTATCTACTGATACCGAAACCCGATCTGATACTCCTATAATCAAATAAGAATAAAGAAGAGCGAAGAAACAGATTTCCTTATTTTCTATGTAGTTCACTTTATTTTAACATTCAACAACTCTGTTAACTAACAGAGCACTTCTGTGAGCTTGAAGAATCAAGTAATGAATAACATCAAATCTTCACTTTTGGACTTTAGTGCAACAGTAAATATATATAAAAAACAGATAGCACCTCAACTTAAAATACCCAGCAGACAATCCCAAGTTTACATAACTCACAGTTTTCTATGGCAATGTCGTCGTCATCAACCTTATAATACCTCATTTAAGGCATTTAACCAATAGCGTCTCTGCAACAAAGTGATGTCATGCCGCACGCGTTGCTGTTTCTTTGTCAAGAATGGCTTAAACTCTGTGCCATGGCATAACTTTAAAAGTGTTAAAAAATAATGAGAATATATAATCAATCGGGAGGTAATGTCCAATTCTGATCGGGTCTGAAACTCCGAGATTAGGCCGAATTTCCAATTACGTGATTGGATCTGGACATTCCAAATACCAACCACACAGCAATACACTAGCAACAACCTAGAAAAATCTACAAACCACATAATGACCCTAGCAAGTGTAATGGAGGCCAGCTAGTGAGTGTTGTGCAGGTAAACCTCTACCTCTTAAAGGTAAACCTCTGACCTCTAAAGCTGCTCTAGCGCAGATGCTAGAGGCCATGGTCTTTAGCCTCCTTGGTAGAGCAACCGACTCCCATGCGGAAGGTTGCATGGGAGTCATTGTTACACTCACCCAACATGCTCAGAGCAGGTTGGGTGGCGTGGGACCGGTGGTGTTACATTGGTGCCGTGACCCGAGTGGGAGTGAGGATTAGAGGGGTGAGTTTAACGAAGAAAGCTAGTGAGTGCTGTGCAGGTAAACCTCACTCCTCTGACCTCTAAAGGTGCTCTAGCAACAGACGCTAGAGTCCATAGTCTTTAACCTGCTTCATAGAGCAACCGACTCCCATGCGGAAGGTCGCAGGGGGGCGTTGGACCGGCGGGGTTACATAAGCATATAGCAACAGCCTGGCAACCACTTAGACCATCATAATCATGCAGCCATCAAACCTTCTACTATTCACACAGCAACACCCTAGCAATCGGACTGCACATAATGTAGTTACAAATAATAATGTTAATCCTGTCTCATGTAAAAGACATTTTTATGAACGTTTTATAATAAATAATTGGTAGAAATAGGACCAGGTTTGGGACATTATTTCAGTGCAAAACTATGAAAATCTATGAAAATTCCCAAAGAGTTTGTTAGTTGTGTCTGTCACTGCCGTCACATTAGCTGTTTCCATTCACCAAATTTTGGAATATTGGAAAAATAAAATGCTTGTATGAAATGCCAAGATGCTCATAAATGTGGATGCAAAAACGTATGTGCACAAGTGAGTAGGATAAACGTTTTATCCGATAAGAAAAAATGTGCCTAAACTATGGAACTATGGACTATGGAAACACATACACTGGATAAAGTTAATATGATACCACAAATGGCCACACACCAGCAGATCGTCCATAATGCAAGACATCTGAAAAGCAGTTTTGGTCAATCTAAAATGCTCAAGCCAAAGTCAGTCATCAAAAGTGGCAGTATCATTACCACACAGAATTGTCTGGAGCGGCTGTGATCCCAAAGAGCGCTCTCACGCCTCCAAAAGCCACCACTTTGTGTTAGGGATTCGTCTTCTGAAGCGCAAGTAATTTATTATTAAGAAAGAAGGCTAACAATGGCTTCTCCTACCACAGCAAATTCCATTCCTCCTTTAAATATTTGGTGCAGGTTATCAGGAAGTGACGATTTTGCCCTCTTTAAATAATTTGAGGGGTGCATTATTCTCGAATGTTTCATGCGATATTCAAGTTTTGCGCGTAACTCTTATTGACATTTTTAGACAAAGAAATAGCTTTTGAGATGTCACATTAATAGGGTCATAACAGCTTGTTCCTTTGATTGTACACAAGTGACAGAAGACTTTTTCAGCATGACTAAGATGCTTGAGAAATGCTAATAACAGACTATAATTGCTTAATAAGTATCTTTCCCTGACTTTTAAGCAAACATTCAAGATCAGCTGCTTCAAGCATTAGCCATGCCCTGTAAAAGAGCCTCATGACAAACATTATGTGTTATGCCTCTAAGTGACCCATTTAAACATCCACGGCTTTAAAAGTCCGCTGTTAATGCAACCTTATTGTCTTGTGTTATTTCTCTCAGAGTAAGCAAGAGAGAAAATCTGGGCCAGATCACGGTGGTTTGCTTGGCTGCTGCAGGAGTTCAGTAAGCCCACCCTAATGAAAAATCATCAGCTGCTTTTCCCTTTCTCTTTTACAGCTCCTTAATGCTTGGATTTCCTCTCTTTCTTCTAATTTCAGCCTGTTTTCCCTGAGCTCACTCCATTCATTTTCCTAAGCTTCAGCCAAGGGTCAATGACATCTAAAAATGTCCAAAATAATCAAAACATATTAAAAATCTAGATGAAAATGTGCTAAGCTGATAAAAAATGTATATAGTTTAAAAACATGTTTAATGAAATGATCAAGCTTAATTATTTAGATTTTAGGACAGTACAGTGGCTCAGTGGTTACCACTGTTGCTTCAAAGCAAGAAGATTGCTGGTTTAAGCCCTGATTGGGCCAGTTGGCATTTCTGTGTGGAATTTGCATGTTCTTCCTGTGTTTGCATGGGTTTTTGGGTGCTACGGTTTTCCGCACAAGTCCAAACACATGCTCTATAGGTTTATTAAATAAGCAAAAAATTGGCCGTAGTGTATATGTGTGTGTGTGTATAAATGAATGTGTAAGTGTTTCCCAGTACTGGGTTGCGGCTGGAAGGGCATTCACTGCATAAAACATATGCTGGAATAGTTATCGGTTCATTCTATTGTGGCAACCCCTGATAAATAATGGACTAAGCTGAAGTAAAATGAATAATGAATTAATTATTTAGACTTTAATGAAGCAGTTCTGCAGAGACAGTGTGCATTTAGGTCACACACACATCTGGAGTGGCAGGGGAGGGGCAGACTCAACCATCTCCATTGATTTTTCTATTGAGGGAAGCCATTTCTTCGTTATTTCTGCCTTATAATAAAAACAAAACAAGGTTTATTGTGGTACATGGTGTACTGCAAACAAGCTTAACATATGCAACAGGATAGGATTATGTGTAGATATAGTGTTTCTACAGTCATATTGGGGTTATATAAAGAAAATAAGTCTCTTTTTTGAAATTTCCAGACATTAAAATAAGATCAAAATCACTCCCATTTTGAGGCACACCGCATCGTGACGTAGGAGTGACTGATTTGATAGACAGCCGCGTATTATCATGTCTCTTAGTAACGCATATTTCAATAATTCAATGCTATCTCATGGCAATTCATAACTTATTGATTTAGTGGCTAAATCATATCAATTCGTACAAATCTAATTCGTACAATTTTGTACAATTTGCT